GCATTGGGTCACCCCAAATTCACCATGAGATCACATAGCATGTCCATAGCTACAGCCTGCACCAAAAAAATCACACATCCACTGTTTCGTGGGGCCGCAGTGGCACAAAAACATGGTTACAATGCACAGATCCACCTGAATTCTCAGGATTTTTGCATTGGGCTACCCCAAACTCACCGTCAAATCACATGTCTGTGGCCACAGCATGAACCACAAAAATCATACATCCACTGCTTCGTTCAGAATATATATATTTTTTCTTGCTTTCCTCTTCTAAAAACTAGGTGCGTCTTATGGTCAGGTGCGTCTTCTGGAACGAAAAATATGGTAATCACATTGGAAGAAGAAATTTGGTTTATTTAGGGTGGTGGAACAAGGGAAACTTCCAAGCTGCCACTTTTGTGGGGGGTAGGATTCAGTTATAAACCTGCAAATTTAGGCTAAGCAGTTAAACGTTGGCTTGGAGCTCTTTGCACAACATGCTCACATCCCTCAAAGGTGGGACTTTTTGCAATGAAGGGGAATTGCGGTGGGAAGTGCGAAAGAACTGCTGCTTAGGTATGCAACAACAGCAGCAAGAATACTCATCGCGAAGTATTGGAAGACACAAGATTTACCCACCAGAGAAGAATGGCACATGAATTTGATGGACTATATGGAACTGGCAGAAATGACTGGCAGAATCCGAGACCAGGGAGGAAGAGTCGGTGGAAGAAGACTGGAAAAAGTTTAAAGACTATTTACAGAAATATTGTAAAATTAATGAATGCTAGAAGAATGTTGGAATGAAGTGATATGGCTTTAGTAGAAATGTTATAAGGAATTAAGTATAAATAGATTAATAGAGTATTAAAGGGAAAATAAGGTTAAAATGTGTTAAGATAATTATAGGATAGAAAACAGGGGAAGGTGGAAAGGAAGTGCTGAAATAATTAATAGAAGTGGAATACAAAAAGGGAGGTGTGAGGAGGTCGTGGAAATATGTGAAAGAAAGATAAGATATTGAATTTTTTTTCTTTTTCTTTTTTTGATGTGTTTTTAAATTGTTTTTGTTTTGTCTTGTTAGTTTAATGTTTTAATGTTATGTAGTGTTTTTGTATTGTAATGTACTGTTTTTTCTTTGTTGTTGTTTTTTGTAGTGTTTAAATTGTTGTAAAAGTAATAAATATTATTTAAAAAAAGAAAGAAAGAACTGCTGCTTAGCGCAGGGTCATGTGAATTACCTGCAAGCCACCAGAAGGAATGCCATCTAGCCTCACCGCAAACTTTGTGCAAGCAAATAATAAGGAACGCTGAAGAAAACGGGTTTCCTGGGTTGTGCTGGGTATTAGGTTAAGAGGCAGGTCAACAGCAAAGGACCCAAAGTTTAAAAAAAAGGAGGGGGGAAGTGGTGCCAAACTCCCAACTGAAGCTCCAGCCTTGCTAAGAGTATAAGAAGAGATTGGCCACTGGATCAGGCCAAGGGGGGCCCATCTGGTCCGGCACTCTGTCCTCACAATGGTCAACCAGATTTCCTGCAGTGCAGGGGGGTTGGACTAGATGACCCTTGGGTCCCTTCCAGCTCTTCAAGTCTGTGATTCTACTGCTTTATAACCAGTGTTCCAGATTATCATCCTGCCAGTGTTTCTCATTTGAAACTTAGATTCCAGATGTGCATTAGCTCTACACCTACCAAGCTGCTCCTGGGTGAATTTAAATATGTTTGCTGTTTAGAATAATAGAATCGTAGAACTGTAGACAAAGGTCCGTATAGTTCAAGCTATGGTCTTCCCAGTAGTGATGTATGGAAGTGAGAGCTGGACCATAACGAAGGCTGATCACCGAACAATGGATGCTTTTGAATTCTGGTGCTGGAGGAGACTCTTGAGAGTCCCATGGACTGCAAGAAGGTCCAACCTCTCCATTCTGAAGGAAATCATCCCTGAGTGCTCACTGGAAGGACAGATCCTGAAGCTGAGACTCCAATACTTTGGCCACCTCATGAGAAGAGAAGACTCCCTGGAAAAGAGAAGGGGACGACGGGGGATGAGATGGTGGGACAGTGTTCTCGAAGCTACCAGCATGAGTTTGACCAAACTGCGGGAGGCAGTGGAAGACAGGAGTGCCTGGCGTGCTCTGGTCCAGGGGGTCACGAAGAGTCGGACACAACTAAACAACAACAGAACTGTAGAGATGGAAGGGACATTGATCTAGTCCAACCCCTGCAATGCATGTATCTCAGCTAGAGTATCCGTGACAGTTGGCCATCCAATCTCTGCTTAAAAACCTCCAAGGAAGTAGAGTCCACCACCTCCTAAGGAAGACCGTTCCACTGTCAAACGGCTCTTGCTATCAGAAAGTTCTTCCAGTTGTTCAGTCAGAATCTCCTTCCTTGTCACTTGAAGCCATTTCTTAAAACCATTGAGCAGGGTTAGGCATCGGGACAGATAAGTTTGGTTTTGTTTGAATTTAAATGTGAAACTGCCTAACTTGCATCTTTTGAACCAACACACAAGCACAGAGGAAGCAGCAATCCTTTGAAAATTGAATTTTGTGACGCGGTTCTCCAGTGTGCGAAAAAGATACATATACAGTGGTACCTCTGGTTGCAAACGGGATCCATTCCAGAGGACCGTTCGCAACCTGAAAAGAATGCAACCCGCGTCTGCTCATGCACAGGTCGCAATTCGCCGCCTCTGCGCATGTGCGTGGCATCATTCTGCACGTCTGTGCATGTGTGAGCGGTGAAACCTGGAAGTAACCCTTTCCGGTACTTCTGGGTCTCCACAGGACGCAACCTGAAAATGCACAACCTGAAGCAAACACAACACGAGGTATGACTGCTCTGGTCAGACCTCACCTGGAGTACTGTGTCCAGTTCTGGGCACCACAGTTCAAGAAGGACACTGACAAACTGGAACGTGTCCAGAGGAGGGCAACCAAAATGGTCAAAGGCCTGGAAACGATGCCTTATGAGGAACGGCTAAGGGAGCTGGGCATGTTTAGCCTGGAGAAGAGGAGGTTAAGGGGTGATATGATAGCCATGTTCAAATATATAAAAGGATGTCACATAGAGGAGGGAGAAAGGTTTTCTGCTGCTCCAGAGAAGCGGACACGGAGCAATGGATCCAAACTACAAGAAAGAAGATTCCACTTAAACATTAGGAAGAACTTCCTGACAGTAAGAGCTGTTTGACAGTGGAATTTGCTGCCAAGGAGTGTGGTGGAGTCTCCTTCTTTGGAGGTCTTTAAGCAGAGGCTTGACAACCATATGTCAGGAGTGCTCTGATGGTGTTTCCTGCTTGGCAGGGGGTTGGACTCAATGGCCCTTGTGGAATAGACCACAACTCTATGATTCTATGATTCTATGACTGTATTAATGAAAAAAACATACAAAGCACATGATGTTAAGGAAAGCTGTGTACAAAAAAACTGTGCATGTTAGTCAAAACGGTGTACAAAAATGTGCATATTAGGAGAAATGTGCGCTGAAACACTGACAGATTTTCATGAGGATTTCTTTATATAAATTGAGAGAGAGAAAGCACAAATCGCTGCAGATGGACAGCCACATTTAAGGTTGGGGAAATGAGAAACGGGGGGGGGGGGGATGAGAGCTTCCGCCATTCCTGTCTTTAGGCCTGAGGGTGTGGGACAAAAAAAGATTTTTTTTTGGGGGGGGGTGTTGGAGCAGGGAAGAAACCTCCTGGGTTTGGATGGAGAAAGAAGTCTGAGCAGTCTGGCAAGGGGGGGGGCTGGTGCTGTATTTGGCCCTCACGCCCCCCCCCTCCCTGAGCACCTGCTTCCCGTCTGTTCCACCTGTAAACAGTTATTCCCCCAAATGAGCATAAGCTTCTCAGGCAAACAGCGGCTCCTGGAACATCTTTCTGCCTCGAGGAGTGGGGGGGGGACTATTAATGGGATGAAAAGTGGTGCTTTGGCCTAAATATTGGCTTATTATTTTATTAAGTTTCCACTTCATAATATATATAAAAAAGCATCCATGTTACTCACATTAAATTTTGGCTCGTATGAGCTGTTCGACTTCCCCCTCCCTCCTTTAATATATATATAAAATAAATATTAAAAGGGACGTGGGTGGCGCTGTGGGTAAAAGCCTCAGCGCCTAGGGCTTGCCGATCGAAAGGTTGGCAGTTCGAATCCCCGCGGCAGGGTGAGCTCCCGTCTTTCTGTCCCAGCGCCTGCCAACCTAGCAGTTCGAAAGCACCTTCAGGTGCAAGTAGATAAATAGGGACCGCTTACTAGTGGGAAGGTAAACGGCGTTTCCGTGTGCGGCTCTGGCTCGCCAGAGCAGCGATGTCATGCTGGCCACGTGACCCGGAAGTGTCTCCGGACAGCGCTGGCCCCCGGCCTCTTGAGTGAGATGGGCGCACAACCCTAGAGTCTGTCAAGACTGGCCCGTACGGGCAGGGGTACCTTTACCTTTTATAAATAAATATTGGGTTATTTTGCCCCGTCTTTTTGTGTCTGCCAAACAGCCATTATTCTCTTGTTAATTATGCTGCTTTAAATATGCATTTTATATTTGACTTCACTTAGCAATAGTTTTGGGGTTGTTGTTGTTTTTTTTTTTTTGAAATGTTTAAGATTTTTTGTTTGTTAACTTCGTTTCTGTTAAATTCTGGAGTTGGCCTCCTTTGTAATGTTTTATTTTGAAATCTTTTAAAGAGAACATTTATCTTAGTTTTCCGTTAATTATGTTGCTTTGACTGTATACTCTATAGTTGCCTTTCTTCAGAAATTTTTGATTCTTGATTGTTTTAATATGCTGTAAACTGCTTTGACGTTTTGCTGAAAAATATAAAGCAGTATAGAAATGAAATGAATAATAATCCTGGCCACCTCCTCTCTCAGCTTGCTGGACCTTTCATTTCCCAAGCGGCGGGCTGGACTGGATGACCTTTGGGGGTCCCTCCCGAGTCTACGAAACAGGCCTCCAGGTGGCCTCGCAGGGCAGCTTCCTCCTCCTCCTCCTCACTGTTCCTTCCTTCCCTCCCCAGGTGAACGGTGTGAACGTGGTGAAGGTTGGGCACAAGCAGGTGGTGTCTCTGATCCGCCAGGGGGGAAACCACCTGGTGATGAAAGTTGTCTCTGTCAGCCGCAAGCCAGAGTCGGAGGACATTGTTCGGAAGAAAGGTGAGTGCAGAGCGCGTCCCCCCAAAAAAACACCCCAGCCCTGGCCCTTCTCTGCCCCCTCTCCTCCTGGTCTCCTGCTTCTCCCCCTGGCACACAGCCCAGCCTGGCTCTCATTCCCCAATCTTTGGGGTACCTCTGGGTGCCTTCAACTACCCTCCTCGTACATCCCACCATCCGGCCGCCCTCGGGCCTGTCAGGAAAGCAGCCTCGGTGGCCCACATCATGTGGGGTGGCCCACACGTAGCTACCCATGCTTCCAAGGAGAGGCCTGAGGTGTCAAAAGGTGTGCTGGATGAAGCCCTACCAAGAGAGCAGAGAGAGACAGAAGGAGACAGCGTGCAACGCACAACCCTCGTGCAACGGACCGGCTGAGGGACAACGTGGCACAGGACCAGATCCGGGGAAGAAGAAGAAGAAGAGTTTGGATTTGATATCCCGCTTTATCACTACCTGAAGGAGTCTCAAAGCTGCTAACATTCTCCTTTCCCTTCCTCCCCCACAACAAACACTCTGTGAGGTGAGTGGGGCTGAGAGACTTCAGAGAAGTGTGACTGACCCAAGGTCACCCAGCAGCTGCATGTGGAGGAGCGGGGAAGCGAACCCGGTTCCCCAGATTACGAGACTACCGCTCTTAACCGCTACACCACACTGGGGACCCCGGACCGCCTTCCCAAGATCCTGCAGAGGGGCTGCAAGGCCCAGGACCTCAGAGGGATCCGCTGCACCAGAAGCCACTTGCTCTGGAGCAGGAAGGAGACACACCGGCGTGGGTGACCAGTGGGGTCAGCCCAACTTGCCCACATCGCTGGAGAGTCAGAAGCCTCCCTGGGGCCTCAGCGCTGGAGAGAAGAGTGCAGGATGTTGTCCCAAGGCTGGCTGGGATGGAGCAGAGCGCCTGGGGGTGGATTTTAGCCTGCGGGAGATGCTGCACTAAGGACAGGGCTGTAGCAGCTTCAGAGAGGAGCCGCGTCGACAGGACAGCTCCGAGCTCCTCCTCTGGGGACTTTTTCGTTCAGAGCAAAGGCAAGGAAGAGGCGACGTGATCGAAGTTTGCAAGATCCTGCATGGCATGGAGAGCGTGGAAAGAGGCTTTGCTCTGCCTCTCCAAAGACTAAAACTCGTGGGCGTTCCATGAAGCTGAATGTTGGGGGAAAATCCCTCTTAAACTGCGGAACTCTCTGCCACAGGAGGCAGTGAGGGCCGACTTGGATGGCTTTGAAAGAGGATCAGACAAATGCACAGAGGAGAAGGTGGTTGGAGCGTGAGACTCTTAATCTCTAGGTCATGTGTTCGAGTTCCTTTGCTGGGCAAAGAATTCGTGCATCTCAGGGGGTTGGACTAGATGGCGCTCGTGGTCCCTTCCCAATGCTGCTGAATACCAATGGCTGGAAAATGCAGGAGGAGAGAGGGCTCCTCTTGCGCTCAGATCCTGCTCCTGGGCTTCCCTCGGGGGCATCTGGTCAGCCAGGGTGCTGGACTAGATGGACCAAGGGCCTGATCCGGCAGGCTCTTCTGATATTCTAATTTGCAAAGCTTCCTAGCAGGGATAAATTGTACCTGCAGAGCTAACCTCTGGCAGGTGTGCAGATCAAGCACTTGACAGGGTCAGCCTCCAGGGACCTCCAGGCAAACCCCTGCCAGCCTAACATGGCCTTTGGGGGCTCCTTGGGGTGCACAAGGCTGTTGGGGGAAGGCAAAAGAAAACCCTTCTTCGCACTGCGTTCCGTTAGACTTTGGAACTCCGAAGGAGGATTAGACGATTCCTGGGCCATAAGGCTTCCAAGGGCTGTTAGCCAAACGGGCAGAGTTCAGTCTCCCCTGTGCCTGCAAACGCCACGTGGTTGGTCTGTTGTCACCTCTTGGACTTCATTTATTTTATTAAAGAAAACTATTAGTTTTTCAACATACCATTTTCAACAATAATTAAACATACTTTTACATCTTATACATTTTTTTCTGACTTCCATCCATCACATCTGAAAATTCTCCAATCTATTTACTTAATTTACATTTCTTACATAACTAATGTCTCTCTTCTTTCTCTTCTTTGCAACATTTCATATATTTCTCCTTACAAAACTTCTTGTAGCCCTACTAGCGTAATTTGTTGAATACAGCTGCTCTTCAAATAATTCGTATATATCTTCCAATCTTCTGTAAATCTCTGGTCCCGCAGCTTTCGATTCCTGCCTGTCATTTTATCCAATTCTGCGTAGTCCATTAATTTTGCCTGCCATCTGATGGGCTTCGTGAGTGGGTAGGAATTTGAACACAGGCCCCCATGCTGCCAGCCAGGCTCTCTGCCTAGCGGTAGAGCATATGCCCACACTGCCCAGGGCGGGCATGCTCCCAAGGGGGGCAGGACACAGAGGGTGCCCTCATAGGCACGGATAGCCGCTTGGGTGCATGGAGTGATGCACGCACCCTGCAGCCAGGGGCAGAGTGATGCCAGCGATGGTGGACATTTGGCGCATCGCACGCCCGCGACTCCCAAGCCTCCCCCGAGCTGTCAAGACAAAGGGGGAAGGGGCGAATACCACTGGCAAAGTGGGGCAGCTACTCCCCTTCTCCTGATGGCTAGGAGTAGGCTTGTCACCCCCCTCAGCGAAGACACCCAGGGTGGTCCACCTCACCTCACCCCCTTCCTCTGCCCCTGTCTGCCCACCAGGCAGCGACCTTTGCTGTGGAGGACTCCTTGTGTGAAGTGAAGCCTCCGGTTCTCACGGCCAGCCAGTGAGAGACGATTTTTTTGAGGAGGACCCAGGCTTCCGACGCAAGCAAAGGTCAGCCTGGCAGCACTCTTGGAAGCTGCCTGCACATCGGCCCCTTGGGATCGTCCACAGGATTCAACCGCGATTAAAAAACAGGCCAATATTTGACTGACCAATATGGATGGGTGTGCCCACCGTCCATAGAGCCTGCCTGTTGTTTAGTCGTTGTGTCTGACTCTTCGTGACCCCCTGGACCAGAGCACGCCAGGCACTCCTGTCTTCCACTGCCTCCCGCAGTTTGGTCAAACTCATGCTGGTCTCTTCAATAACACTGTCCCGCCATCTCGTCCTCTGTCGTCCCCTTCTCCTTGTGCCCTCCATCTTTCCCAACATCAGGGTCTTTTCCAGGGAGTCTTCTCTTCTCATGAGGTGGCCAAAGTCTTGGAGCCTCAGCTTCAGGATCTGTCCTTCCAGTGAGCACTCAGGGCTGATTTCCTTCAGAATGGAGAGGTTTGATCTTCTTGCCGTCCATGGGACTCTCAAGAGTCTCCTCCAGCACCAGAATTCAAAAGCATCCATTCTCTGGCGATCAGCCTTCTTGATGGTCCAGCTCTCACTTCCATACATCACTACTGGGAAAACCAAGGCTTTAACTATACGGACCTTTGTTGGCAAGGTGATGTCTCTGCTTCTTAAGATGCTGTCTAGGTTTGTCAACGCTTTTCTCCCAAGAAGCAGGCGTCTGCCCCTCCTAAAAGTTGTGCCAGAGGCGTCGCCGCCCAAAATAGACGGATGAGGAGGATTGCTCAGTGTGCACACGCATTGGAGGTTTTTAAGCAGAAGGTTGGGTGGCCCTCTGTCGGGGATGAGATTCCTGCATTGCAGGGGGTTGGACTTGATGGCCCTTGGGGGTCCCTTCTGACTCAACCATTGGCTTTGTCAAGAAGCTAGCCCTGAGGAAGGACTGGGTGGGAAGCGAAGCTGTAGTTCTGGCATGAGAACCAGCCAGTCACATCTCATGCGCCTCCCATGCCCATGGAGTAGCTCCCATTACAACCCTTTCTGGCTGAGGCCCCCACCACCACCTCTCCTTCCGGGTATGGGGTGGGGCAGTGGCTGCCTTTGCCCCCCCCCCCCCGGTGCCACAGAAGCCTCGCCTGTGGCGAGTGGGGAGGGAGCTGGGAAAGCGAGGCAGCTTCCCTCCCACACAGCGGAGACAGAGCGAGGGGGAGGGTGGGCTCGGCTCCTATTTTTAGCCCCGTGGGTCTGTGCTGTGGGGAAGGAGGAGACGGCTGTGGGGGGAGCTCCAGGGTCCCTCCTTGCCTGCTTGGGTGGCAGGGAGCCAGGCGGCTTGGAGAGCCAGCAGCGGGGAGAGGAAGGGAGGCAACTTGCCACCCAGAGCTGTAATTATCCTGCGCGCTGCCAGTGCGCGCGAGTGCGAGTCGTGGGGAAGACGGAGCCGTGCGGTGGGCATCGCGCTGCTGACTCTGCTCACTGCCTCCTGGGGGGTCTGCTCATTCCCCGGCTGGAGGGGAGAGAGATAGAGACGTCTCTGAGCTTTCGGCGCCTCGGGCAGACGTGGCGATCCGTCCCTGAGCACCCAGGTGGCTGGCACCCAGCAAAGCATCTGTCTCCTGCTGTCAGAAAGCGCACCCTCTGGGCTGGCGCCGCGAAGACCTTCTCCGGCAGTGAAGACCCCGGGCACCTCCTGCACAAGCCGGCTGGCACCCATCCCCTGGCAGGAGACAGCCCAATTGCTCGCCGCTTCAGCAAGGGCAGGATCGCGTGGCAGACGGAGGTCTTCCTGCCCCCCTCGACTCTCTGGCCTTGCCCCCCACCCCACCCCGACTGGGCCCGCAGCTTCCTCCCCGGCTCGCCTTGTGTGGGAATCGTGCTTTTTCTCTGCTCCCCCCCCCTCCGCCCCTGTTTTGGGGGTCTCTGATGCAGGCGCCTCCGGCAGCAGCTCGGAGCTCCGGTTTCCATGGCGACGGGGAGCGTTGAAGCCCGCATTGTTACGGATCTCGGGGCGAGGGAGAGCGGAGCGACGAGCCAGCCTTTCCGCTCCTCCGCTCTGTCACAAACCCCATGGCAGATGGAGCCTCGCTCTGGCATCGCCGCCGCCGGACGGGCTGGCTAGGGAGAGCCGGGGACCAGCCCTGCCCTCTGCCGCTGCCGCCGCCACCTCGGAGCGAGGTCTCCACGTGCCCAAGCCGCTTGGCAGCACTGCCACCGGGCAGAGGCCCCAAGGGCAGTGCCAGCCCCCAGAGTTAATGGAGAGCCAGGCCAGGCAGGGGAACAAGAGCCTGGCCTTGAGAACGAGGACCTAGGATCAGCGATATCACCTTGGTGCCCTGCCCCCTTTGCCCATGGCCTCCCTGGCAGGGAGGGGTCCGCTGAGCGGCAGGATTGGGCAGACCATGCCCGGGAGCCCCCTGAGCTGAGGGTCCCGGCCAGAACGCTCTCTTGCCCCTGCCCCGATTGCCCTCCCTGCTCCCACCCCGGCCGGCCGCGGGACCATGAAGAAGTTTGCCTCCACTCGCAGCCTGAACAAGATCCTTCAGCAGTGCGACTCCTCCTCCTCCCGCGAGTACGAGGAGATCCAGGCCGTGGAGAAGAAGTGGCACCTGCACCTGGCAACGCCCAGGAAGCTGCTGGACCGCAAGTGCAAAATGCCCTCCCTCTTCCTTTCAGCCCCGCCGCCGCCCAAGAGGGCGCCCAGCACCACCCTGACGCTGCGATCCAAGTCTATGACCGCCGAGCTGGAGGAGCTGGGTGAGTCCTGGCAAGGGGGCGGGAGGCCGAGGGGGGTGGACCCAAAGGAGAGCATGCGTGGCGGGCAGGGCGGAGGGTTGCTGCCCCCACTCCTCAGGTGTGAACCACCCCCCCCAAGAGAGGTTCGGGGTGCCCTGGCCACACCCACCTGCCCTCGGCTCCAGCTCCGAGGCTGTTCCAAGGCCACTGCCCCCCCCCAAATATAACCCTGCGAGGTAGGTGAGACTGGCGGTGGAGCAAGGTCACGCCCAGTGAGCTTCATGGCCAGCCTGGGGGGGATTCGAACCTTGGCCCCTCCCACGTCATTTAACCAGCACAAGAACCCTGCGAGGTGGGTTGGCCCGAGAGAGGCAGCCACTGGCCTCCAAAGTCACGCCCGGTGAGCTGAGAGGGGTGGGGGGGATTTGAACCCAGGTCCTGGCCCAACACTCTCCCAGCGTTTCCCCTCTCCCAACTCCCCTGGCGTGGTCCTTGTGGGGCCCGGTTTCCCCTCCTGGTTCTGCGTCGCTGTGCCCATTCCTGCTGCCAGCAACACGCTGCTGAGACTCCCTGCTTAACGCCAGACTGCTTTCCCTGGCGCTTCCAGCAAAACTTCCCTCTCCCTGCCCAGCTCTGGGCCTTTGCCCTCGTGTGTGCCCGGGCACAGCCATCCACCCTCCAAGCCTGTCGTCCTTTCGACTCATCCTCAGCCTTGCTCTTTCCCACCTTCCTTCCGCCCCGGACCTCGAGGTGGCATAGATATGGGTGGGTGCCCAAGAGGTCCCTCATCCGGGCATTGACCAGGCCTGGACCTGCTTAGCTGGGCTAACGGGCTGTACCCCTGTGCCTGCCCCACTAACTGCCCCCCCAACCCATCTCCGGATGCAGGAACGCTTTGATCTTTCTCTGAGCAGGGAAGGTTTGGTGGAGTGCAAAAGTCAGTGCCGGGGGGGGGGGAACCATGGTTTGCTGTGCCCCTTTGCTTCCACCCCACTCCAGAGAAAAGTCTTGGCATCCCAGGGTGGGTCACTGTTCCCACCTTTGGGGTGGCATACTCTGTCTTTGCTCAGGGTGCTCCTTGGGGAGGCCTCGTATGGAAAATCGCCAACTTCTTCGGCAATTTGGGGGGGGGGCTCCCTGGCCTGAAAGGGAGGAGATAATGGGAGGGGCGGGTTGTGCATGAATGCTACATCCCCCACCCCACCCTATTCCATGCACAGCCTCATGTACATCAGGGAACCCAGGATGTGCTGAAAGTCTGGGGAAACTGAGCCCCCAAGGGGGTCCCTCCCTTCCTCCCCCCCCCCGGCCTGTAAGGACATTCTCTGCTGAGGGGGGGGGGCTATTTTCCAGCGCTTCGGCTCTAATCCACTCAGAACCCCTGTCCCTGGACTCTGTGTGGAAGGAGAAGGCAGTCAGCACATGCCCAGAGACCCCCTCCCTTTCCAAAGTAGAGCCTTGGCAGCAGAGGGGGTGACTCAAACTGAGCTGGCCTGCTTTGAGGGGGGGCGCAAATCCCCCAGCTGGCCTGCTTTGAGGGTGGGGCGCAAATCCCCCAGTGCTGCTATTTGAGGCTGGGAAGGCATGCCTCCCCAAGGTGAGAGGGTGCATGACAGGGTGGGGGCCTGCATGGACGCCTTGCTGGGAAGCATCGCAGAATGCAGCTTGCCACCCCGCAAAAAACTTGGGGACAGACCAAGACCCTTCCCTAGAGAGCCATCTTGCCTTGGCACAGGCAGCAGAGAAGGGGTGCAGCATGCCGCGGGTGTGGGGGCAAGGGGGGGAGTGCACCCTGCACACCATTGATGTCCTGTGCTTTTGTTTCTTGATTCCAAGCCTCAATGCGGAGGAGGAAAGGGGGTGAGTTCAACCGCCCGTCTCCAGGGCTCGTCCAAACCCCTTTTGATCCAAGCTGCCCCTCCCTCCCTCCCTTCCTCCCTCCCTCCCTCTCTCCCCAGCATGATGGGAAGGTGCACTGGGACCCCGGTCCATGCTAACGGCCGCAGGACACATGGGAGAGTGGACCTGGTCTTTGCAATACACTGTCCGTTTCTGGTCTTTGCAATACACTGTTCCGTTTGTGGAAGGAGGGAGGTTCGGGAGAGGAAGGCTTCGTGGCAGCCTGGCAAACCACGTCCTAAGTTCACGTTGTTTGTTGGTTGGGAGGACAGCAGTGCAGCCCGTGGAACGAGAGTCCATCCATGCAGCCTCTGCAAAGTTTTCCCAGGGATTGTGAGGTCATCTCCTTGAAGACCAGCCAGTGTGTCCGTGTGGATTTCCGGATGTAGCGCTCTTGTTGAGCTCAGGAGCAACCCCGCCAGACACCGCTTCAGGTTCAAAGAACGACGAGGGCTTAGGGTGTTTTGTTTGCTTGCCTGAATGTGGCTGCGTTGTGCAAAGATCTGTGTGCACACCCACGTACGCACACAAAACGTATATCCAAACGACACACTGCATGTATAGGCTTCCTCCATTCCAGCAGAAAATAAACAGCGATGGCAATTAGTTAAAAACAGTAATCAATGCCTTCATTAGCATTGCAGAGGGGTGGACAAGATGACCCCTAGGGATCCCTTGAGATCTGCAGTTCTATGGTAACTCAGGGCCATGGTGACCCCTCAGCAGCAGCCCTGGGCCTTTCAGGTTTTGCACGCTCTCCGAAAGCCAGGAAAGCGAGAGGAACCACTAAATTAATTGGGGACACCGTTTCCTCAGCCTCAGAGCAGTTGCCTCAAGGCACCTGTTCCCCTTTCTTATAGCTTTTTAATGGCTGTTTCTATTGCCAGAGCTCCGTATCCACATGATAAAATGTAAAGTGCAATAAAAGAATTGCATAAATAGATCGGCGCGACCTTATCGTGGCCTAAAACCACACCAGGAGGGAGTTCTTGTGTTTGTTCCTTTCCAGATTCCCAAACATAGATGGCTAGAAGTTGCTGATAGCCAAATGCAAATTCCACCAGCATTAAAATCGTCAAGAAAGTATGAAACAGCAGCTCTTTCGACCACGCCAATTGCGAGTTTCAAGCTGGAGTCCTCAGGCATTCAGAAACTGGGTGGTTTCGCACACTTAATCCTCCTTGAGGATTTCCCATAATGAGCATCTGGTCGCTTCCTGTGAGTACAGGTTGCTGGACTAGCTGGCCACTGGCCTGATCCAGCAGGCTTTTTAGTAGAATCAAAGAATCACAGAACTGTAGCATTGGAAGGGAACCCAGTGGTCATCTAATCCAACCCTCTGCAATGCAGGAATCACATCCAAAACATCCATGGACACCTGGCCAGCCAAGCTCCAATGATGGAGAGTCTACCACCTTCCAAGGGAGACCATTTCACTGCCAAACATCTCTTGCCCTCAGAAAATTCTTCCAGATGTTGAGTCAGAATCTCTTTTCTTGTCACTTGAACCCATCGCTTCAGGTCCTGGAGCATCACAAAACAAGCTTGCTCCATCTTCCATGTGAGAGCCCTTCAGAAGGGCTCACATCACCTCTCACATCACCTCTCGGTCTCTTCTTTTCCAGGCTCAACATCCCCAACTCCCTCAACTGCTTCTCATAAGGCTCAGTTTCCAGGCTCTTCAGCATCTTGGTCCCCATGACCCCGGGTTCAGACACTAAGGGCTTCTCCAGACTTCGCTTTTGTCCTGTTCTTTCCAGGCAAAGGTCCACAATTTATTAAGGCTCTGTGTCCGAGCGGTCTTTGCCCCGAGCTTTCTCCACAAAAACCCATTCTTTAAAGCTAAATCGGGGCAAACATCCATTTGGGTTTTCTGTGGATTGACATTTGCTCCAACTGAGCTTTAAAGAGCGAGTTTTCACGGGGAACGCTCCAGAGAAATTAAAAGGGCACTGAGACATGGAGCTTTAAAGAGCAGAAAGCCAAGCCAGAGCTCAGGTGCGCATCGGCCATAAGCCGTGTTTAGGCATGGCGTTAAGCAGAAACACGTCCGTTGATGTGCTGAGGGATGTCCACCTATCCTGCCATCACATCCTGGTCTAGGCAGAGCATAGCAGGGGGTGCTCCCAAGGAATATGCGTACCCTATGCAAAGCATTGAAAATCAACTCCAATTCCACTTGCAATTAATGGCACAATAACAGAGGATTATAGACACCATTAGGCAACAGTCTAGAACCACCCAGAGACAAGCAAGGCCGGCTAATATGCGACATAGGAGATTTTTCTCGCGTGCCCTTGTATTTACAGGACCACCTCTCCTGGTATGCCCTGCAGAGGACCTTAAGGCCCGGGCCCTAAGGAAGTCAGATTATCCTCCCCCAGGGCCAGGGCCTTCTCAGTGATGGCTCTGACCTGGTGGAATGCTCTGTCCCAGGAGACCAGGGCCCTGCAGGATTTAACTTCCTTCCGCAGGGCCTGTAAGACAGAGCTATTCCGCCTGGCTTTCAATTTGAACCTGGCCTGATCTTTTACTCCCCTTCCTTCCCTCCTCCTCCCCCTTTTATGAAGATTACCTGCTCTGGGATCCCACAGCTAATTCTCCCCTGGTCTCCTCGCTGGCCCAAATAGGACTAATTTAGCCAGCTAGCCCTAGTGATCATGTAATGTTTATTGGATGGATTTCCCCCCTAAATTGATTTTGGAATTCTGAATTGATTGTTATTCACATTTTATACTGTATTTTATGCTGTTTTTTGTTGCATCAATCAAGTGTTTTAAATTTGTTGTTAGCCGCCCTGAGCCCGGTTTTCTGAACCAGGAAGGGCAGGGTATAAATAAAAAATTATTATTTATTATTATTATTAAAACAAGCTTTTAAAGGATTGACCTTGGTGCCTGCTTGCTTCAGCAGTCCTCATGCAATGAAGCAATGGGCTGTTTCTTTCTTTACGACTGCTGTGGTTCTAATGGTGAAAGCAACTCCCTGATCGCATAACAGTGGCTGGCAGGTGTGTTGCCATCTTCCTTGGCAGAAAAGGTGCCTCTTAGATTCAGAACCTGGGCATGAAAGTGAGCTCATCAGCAGCAGTGAGACTCGAAGGAGGAAGGGGCTTCAGGCAGAGACAGGAGTCCCAAATTGGAGATGCAAGGCCAGCAGACGAATGTGCCCAAACAAGCAGCAGCGAGATGTTTGCTGGCAGCTCCCGGCAGGAAGTGGTGGGTGTGCCATACGGTCTCATCCAGAGGGATGAAGGGGCCTGAGAGGAGGAGAGAGGAGGAGGGGAGACTGTGATGAGAAACCATGGGGAAACAAGGCTTTTGTGCTGGCCCAACCAATTGGCTCAAGGACGCAGGTGGCGCTGTGGGTTAAACCACAGAGCCTAGGACTTGCCGATCAGAAGGTTGGCGGCTCGAATCCCCGCAACGGGGTGAGCTCCCGTTGCTCGGTCCCTGCTCCTGCCAACCTAGCAGTTCAAAAGCACGTCAAAGTGCAAGTAGATAAATATGTACCGCTCCGGCAGGAAGGTAAACGGCGTTTCCGTGCACTGCTCTGGTTCGGCAGAAGTGGCTTAGTCATGCTGGCCACATGACCCGGAAGCTGTACGCCGGCTCCCTCGGCCAATAAAGCGAGATGAGCGCCGCAACCCCAGAGTCAGCCATGACTGGACCTAATGGACAGGGGTCCCTTTACCTTTAGCCATTGGCTCAGCTTTCTAAAAGCAAACTTCAGCAAGTCTCCAGCCCAGACAGCATCCTGCGTGGCTGGCAGCAGCAACTTTATCTGGAACAACCCATGACGGTCACTTGCTCCTCTTAAGAGGAACGCCACAGGTGCCCCATAGCCTGAGAGTGCCCTACTAGGCGTCAGTGTTGGCTATTTGCAGATTAGTTACATCAGTTACATAGGTCCACACTTCTCAAGAGGTTAAAAGTGTCTCCACCCGAAACGACCATAAACTGTAATTCTCATCTGTCAACCGTGGGAACGTCAGAGCTTTCTCGGCTTCTGAAACCCGGTCAACCATTCTGGAACTCTTGCAGAACTACACCAACAGGAGGAGGAGTTTTCAAAACTTTCTCAAAGTCCAAAAATGTGCAGTCATCCACTCAGCAGCTGGGCCCATAACCAAAGATGTTGGCTATTTGCAGATTAGTTGCGCTGCAGAAGGCGTTCTGGGGAGACCACACATTACAAGGAACGCAAAAGTAACTTTCACTAGGTTTTAATAACAAAAACAGAAACTCCTTTTACAATATATCAATAAGCATGACCCAACCACCAACCCATCCACGAGGGCACTAAGAGAACGAGGTGCTGCTCTTTATACACTATACCCAACAGCTTAATTAACATAACAGCACCTGCTATACTGCTTCACAGCTGTAAAACTAACTCACGTTATTTGCTCTGGCCCTTAAAGACATACACATCTTGTGGAACAATAATGAAACCTAAAATTTAAAGAAAACATTCAACAGTCAGTTGTCGCTTAGAGAAGCAGCTTAGGGAGACTGTGATTTAGACTGCTGGTTTTCCCTCTGTAGAGTTCCAGGCAGGGGGAAAGCTGCTCGGGAAACTTCGGAGCGGAAGGGCATCGCGTAGGGCAGAGGTTCAAGCAACCTCCAGGTGTTGGGGAACTGCAACTTCAACCAGTTGTGCTGGCCGGGACTGATGGGGAGTTGTAGTCCCCCCCCAAAAAAAAACAACAACACCTGTGCATTTGGAGGGCACCAGGTTGGCGAACGCCGCTCTAAAACCAGAGGCAGCCAGCTTTTGGGGCGGGCTGCGCTGATGGAGAAGGCAGCTTCTGTCTGAAGGAGAGCAAAAGAAGTCCTTTTTCATGCAGCGCGTAGTTATTAAACTGTGGAACTCCCTGCCACTGGAGGCAGGTAAAGGTAAAGGGCCATTAGGTTTAGTTGTGGCTGACTCTGGGGTTGTGGTGCTCATCTCGCTTTATTGGCCAAGGGAGCCAGCGTACAGCTTCCGGGTCATGTGGCCAGCAGGACTAAGCTGTTTCTGGCAAAACCAGAGCAGCGCACGCAAACGCAGTTTACCTTCCCACCAGAGCGGTACCTATTGATCTACTTGCACTTTGATGTGCTTTCGAACTGCTAGGTTGGCAGGAGCAGGGACTGAGTGACGGGAGCTCACCCCGTTGCGGGGATTCGAACCGCCAACCTTCTGATCGGCAAGTCCTAGGCTCTGCTTGATCTTCTTGCAGTTCATGGGACTCTCAAGAGTCTCCTCCAGCACCAGAATTCAAAAGCATCAATTCTTCGGCGATCAGCCTTCTTTATGGTCCAGCTCTCACTTCCATGGAACAAGTGCATAGGCGAACTCGTAGACCCAATTGTGGCCCTTTGGGTGCTGGTCCTTTCAAGGAGCTGTGGGGTTCCTGTGGTGGTGGGGGGGCTCTTTTCTCCTACAAGGCAAAGGGAGCGAGGCCTCGCTAGCCACCCAGCAGGCCGCAGGGCTCCCTTGCTGGCATACAAGCGCACCCTCCCCTGGCAGCACACCCAGCCCATCTCTGTGTCGAGTTCCTGCCTTCAGAGGCCAAGCCTGGCTCACGGGGATGCTGTGTCTTGACTTTGCAGAGAAGCTGGACGAGATCTTGGCAGCCGCCGAGCCCTCGCTGAGAGCGGACATCGTGGAGGCAGATTCCAGGGCAGCCACTGTGAAGCAGAGACCCACCAGCAGAAGGATCACCCCTGCGGAGATCAGTGTGAGAGATATGGGAGCACAGCGGGCAGGGGGGCAGGGCAGGGGTGCGGCAAGGAAAGCCACAAACTGGGAAGGATTCCAGGGGTTGCGGGGGGAGAAGCCTTTTGCTGACAGGAAGCCAGAGAGAGCTAAGGACACGGCCCATCTCACTGGAATGCTTTGCCCTGGTTGAACAGTAAGGAATGGGGGGGGGCGTCTATTTATTTCATGAAATTTATACACCAAACACCCACCCCTCAAAGAGGTTTACAAAAAGATACGGCAAGAAAATCAAGGTGGGGAATTGCAACATACTGCAAATTAAAATACAGTGATACCTCTGGTTGCAAACGGGATCTGTTCCAGAGGCCCCTTTGCAACATGAAAGGAATGCAACCTGCAGCAGCGTGTCTGCGCACGAGCGGGTTGCAATTCACCGCTTCTGTGCATGTGTGTGATGTCATTTTGTGCGTCTTCGCATGCACAAGTGGCGAAACCTGGAAGTAACCCTTTCTGGTACTTCATGGTCACCGCGGGACGTATCCTGAAAGGACGTAACATGAAGCAAATGTAACATGAGATATGACTGTACTAAAACAAGTTAGAATTCACATCAACTTCCTAAGCTTCTGGGCTGTCTAAACAAGAATGTTGGGGGTTTTTTTTAGCAGGAACCAAAAAGAAGGCTCCTGTTTGATATCAATAGGCAGGGAGTTCCAAAGGTGCTGCCACACTAAACTATCAAGTGCTTAGAAACATGGAATGGGTGTTATGGGGTACCTGCAGTACAGTGGTACCTTGGTTCTCAAACTTAATCCGTTCCAGAAGTCCGTTCCAAAACCAAAGCGTTCCAAAACCAAGGCACACTTTCCCATAGAAAGTAATGTAAAATGGATTAATCCATTCCAGACTTTTAAAAACAACCCCTGAAACAGCAATTTAACGTGAATTATACTATCTAACGAGACCATGGATCCATAAAATGAAAGCAATAAACATTGTACTGCAGTCACACAGACAATCAATCAGTAGCTGAATTGGGTTCCACACAGTCACAAAAACAAAACAAAAAAGAGCCACAAGAACGCAAAATAAATAGCAAAAACAGACAGCCCTCAGCGTAACACTCAAAACGGAAGTGTGGCACTCAAATCGGAGGCGTAACACTCAAAATGGAGATTTTTTCTGAAAACAGTTCACAAACCGGAACACTTACTTCCGGGTTTGCAGTGTTTCGGTTCCAAGTTGTTTGAGTACCAAGGCATTTGAGAACCAAGGTGCCACTGTAGTGCCAGTTCCGCCAACTGAAGCTTTCAAGGTGGACTTGACAATGTAGATTCAGATAGGTAGCCGTGTTGGTCTGACGCAGTCAAAATAAATTAAAAAATTGTCCAGTAGCACTTTAGAGACCAACTAAGTTTGTTCTGTGGGTATAAGCTTTCGTCTGCAAGCTTTCTATCCCATGCTTTTTCCTGTAGGACTAACTGCAGTCGTTAACAGTCGTCAACAGCTTTACCATACCCATTGAGTCAATCACCCATCTCCTACCCTCCACCCCACCCCACCCTCCCACTATATATAAGGATCTGGCAACTTCTGTTCCAGTGTATCTGAAGAAGTGGGCATGCACACGAAAACTTATACCCAGAACATACTTAGTTGGTCTCTAAGGTTCTACTGGACAATTTTTTCTATTTATTTTGACAGCGTAGGCAATGCATCCATTTTTAAAATAGTAAAAGCACTTGTCAAGGTGGAGAGCAGCCTCCCTTCAAAGCCTCGCTGTTCTTTCTCCAGAGCTGGCGGAAACCAAAGTCCCAGGGATTGTGGAATTGTAGAATTGGGAAGCAGCCAGACAGGGCATCTAGCCCAGCCACTGGCAATGCCAGAATCCCAGCTCACGAATGCCTGAGCATAGCTGTCAACTTTCAGATTTGAAAATAAGGGATCAGCAGCCTCAAAAATAAGGGATCAGCAGCTTCACCTGTCCCGGGGACAGTCTATGGGACATCTAACAATCTGGGATAGCGGCAGGAAACTGCACTGGAATAAGGGAATTTCCCGCAAAAAAAAGGGGAAGGTTGACAGCTATGTGCCTGAGACCTGGCCATCGAACTGCCAGGCATTCTTGAGCTGGGATTCCTGCATCTCATGGGGGGTGATGACCTCTTAGGGTTCCTTCCACCTCCACAAAACTATGATGCAGGGCTGGACCTGTTTATGGCCAGGCAGAAGAGTGACCCTTGTCCCCCTCTCTTTTTTCCAGTCTCTCTTTGAGCGGCAGGGGATGGCGGCCCACACTGGTCCAGAGAAACCCCACATTTCCCTGCGCAAAGGAATTCCGCGGACAAAATCTGTAGGTAGGTGTGATGTTTCTACATGACCCCAGACCACGACCCCAGGCTTCTCCCTTGGGTGCCAGGACCGTTGCGCCACAGCTTCCAGGGGCGCAGAGACTCCTGTCTGGCATTCACAAAACAAATGAAATACAGTCAAAATCCCTGAAACGAGAAGTAACCGACTAGAAATATTATCTTCTAGAATTAAACTAAATAACAAAAATCAAAAAGTTTAAGGAAAAAATTAGAAAAACCTAGAATTGAGCCAAGCCTTAAGGGGATGCCAGCTACAAACCTCGTTTCACTGAGCTATTCAGTTTCCTCAGAAGGAAATAGAGAAATCATAAACCTTAAATGACCAAATTCAAAGAAAGGGGGTAAAACTCCAAAAAAATTCTGAAGTATTATAATCCTAGCTCGACCTAGGTGAAGCAAAGCGCAGTAATAAAGGAATGAGGACTCAAAGGTACAGTTTCTAAAACTGAGTTTACAAAAAAGGTTTGAAAACCTAAATGTCAAGTTTTAGACACAGCCCAGCTTGAAGAAAGCCAAGCAGTAGTAATAAGGAGTTGAGGACTCGGCTGTGAAAACTCTAGTATTGCCTTTACAAAAAGGTTTAAAAGACCTAAATAGCACAAATCCAAAGAAAGGAATGCCAGATAAGCTGTTTTAGATTTTAAACAAACTCAAGAACAGGGCTGAAACGCTCCCATGGTCTAGATGTTACTGCTGATGTTAAAGATTACTAGCCGATTACTTCTCGTTTCAGGGATTTTCAGGGTATTTGATTTGTTTGGGTAATTTCTCGGTTCCGCAACTGTCTTTTTTCTACTGACTCCTCTCTGGCACTCGGCTGCCCTGCCTCTCATCTTCTCTTTTAAAAACCAGCATCTCTTTTCCCCCTGGGTCTGAGGAAAGATAGGAATATCAGCTATTAGGGAGGCCTTCTCTATCTCCCCTGCTTTGCCTCCTTGTCTTTAAAGAACCGCTGGCCCTTTTAAAATGCCAGAAAAGAAACCGTGGTTCATGCACCTGCCATAGCGCTGCCTCTGCGCACTCTTATCTCAGAGGAGGAGCTGCCCCTTGGAATGTGTATCTCATGTTTGTCATCTGTGCTCACCAAACACCCAACCCTTGGATTCCAGCAACAGCAGGGTGGACAGACGAATACTTTGGCATCTTGGTGGTTTTTTAACGGAGTTGTCCACTCAAAAATCTGCAGGTGCCGAAGGGCTGTGTGGCTCAGTGGTGGAGTGCATGGTTTGCATGCAAAATGCCACAGGTTTGATCTTTGGCAGGTGGGGCAGGGACAGGCCCCTGTCTAAAACCCCAGAGAGCTGCTGCCAACCCATGCGGACAGAGCTGGGCTAGATGGGCCAATGGGTTGACTCGGTACAGGGCAGCTTCTCTAGGGTGCTTTTGTGTTTGGGTCCCAGAGGGCAGCTTGCAGCCCCTTTGTTCCCCTCTGGTCTTTGGGGCTCAGTGCAGTGCAGCCAACGTCCAGCTCTATGATTCTGTGGTTCTACGATTTGCTGTCGTGACGGTTCTACGTTTTGCCGTCGTCAAAAATGTCTCCCTTGCCGTTGCTGTGCGTTAGACCTGTGGGGCCGCAATACGATAAGGAGGACAGAGATGCTGTCAGTCAAGGTAGACATTGATGATCCAGAAGACCAAAGGCCTGACCTGGTCTGAGGCAGCTTGTGCCCCGTCGTCTCCCGTTGCCGCTGCCTCCACACTCATTGGTCCATGTGGGAATTTGGCTCTGCTGGTGCTTTTGCGCCTCTCCACCCTCCCTGCCGGGATGCGGGTGGCGCTGTGGGTTAAACCACAGAGCCTAGGACTTGCTGATCAGAAGGTCGGCGGTTCGAATCCCCACAACAGGGTGAGCTCCCGTTGCTCGGTCCCAGCGCCTGCCAACCTAGCAGTTCGAAAGCACGTCAAAGTGCAAGTAGATAAATAGGTACCACTCTGGCGGGAAGGTAAACGGTGTTTCCATGCGCTGCTCTGGTTCCCCAGAAGCGGCTTAGTCATGACCCGGAAACTGTATGCCGGCTCCCTCGGCCAGTAAAGCAAGATGAGTGCTGCAACCCCAGAGTCGGCCACGACTGGACCTAATGGTCAGGAGTCTCTTTACCTTTACCTTTACCTTTACTCTCCCTGCCTCGTGGACATACAATGAAACTTAATGTTGCAGGATTCAAGACAGGCAAAAGAAAGTCCTTTTTTTTTAAAAAAAAATGCTTTTTATTGGTTTTTCCTTTAATACAGACAAACAAAATGCAGTGAAATTTAACAGTCATTTGCCCACTTTCTTCCCCCACACTCTGCCGAACGTTGACTTCCTTCCCTCGCTCCAACAGGTTTTCTTACTTCAGTTACTTTTCCACAGTTCCTTGTTGTATCCAATCCTATCTACGTCGTAAGATTTATTTCATTCCTGCCAGAGTCTTCAGATTTCTACAGTTATTACTTATATATTCTATAAATTTACTCCAATCTCTTTGGAATTTTGTTTCCTCCTGATTTGGGATCCTACAGGTCAGTTTTGCTTCTTCCGCATAGTCAACAAAAAGTCCTTCTTCAGGCAGTGCAGAGTAAAATTGTGGCAGGAGACAGTGATGGCTCCCAACTTGGACTGGACATGGAGAGGTCTCTCCATGGCTACTAGATGTGAGGGCTCAGCTCTTCCTCCACAGTTGGAGGGAGCAATGCACCTGAATACTCCTTGCTGGAAACCACAGGAGGGGAGACAGCTCTTGAGCTGCTCAGCCTCTGTGAGAGCAGGATATTGGAGTGGATGAGCCATTGGCCTGACACATCAAGCTCTTCCTGTGATCTTATGCCGCCTCGTCCTACCTTCTCCTCCTCCCAGCAAGCAGCTGTGACTCGTCGACAGGGAGGCCTGATGGGGCACCTCTGCCCTCCCATGCCATCCACTGCTGACCAGAACCTCTACAAGCAGCCCACAGACATGGCAAATGGGTTAGGATGCAGGGAGAGCTCAAGGGACAACCTGGCCCATCTATGATGTGGCTGAGATGTTTGTACCTTGGAGACTATAGGGGCGTGGCTGGCGCTGTGGTCTAAACCACTGAGCCTCTTGGGCTTGCCGATCAGAAGTTCAGCGGTTTGAATCCCCGTGACTGAGTGAGCTCCCGTTGCTCTATCCCAGCTCCTGCCAACCTAGCAGTTCGAAAGCATGCCAGTGTGAGTAGATAAATAGGTACCACGGCCGCAGGAAGGTAAAGTGTGTTTCCATGTGCTCTGGCACTTGTCATGGTGTCCTGTTGCTCCAGAAGCAGTTTAGTCCTGCTGGCCACATGACCCAGAAAGCTGTCTGCGGACAAACACTGGCTCCCTTAGCCTGAAAGGAAGATGAGCGCCGCAAGCCCATAGTCGCCTTTGACTGGACTTAACCGTCCAGGGGTCCTTTACCTTTACCTTCTTTCTTTTTTACCTTGGAGACCTCAGCAGGTGGAAGAACCTTTTGAGGAAGGTTCATCCTCCTGGCAAGGAGCCAGCTGGGAGCCAAGCCACTCGCCATCCTTTTGGTGCAATAAGAGACTTGGCACCTGGTAGCTGCTCTGTGTGACTGTCGAGGCAAATCTTTTCCTGGCTTTTGTAGCGGAGAGCTCCATGCTTTGGTCTGTGGCCTGATGGAGCATATGCGCGGCAAGGGTGTCCCTGCCCAGTCAGTCCTTTGGAAGCCAGGTTTGATTCACTGGCCACAAAACCAGCCCTGCTCACTCACGCGGCTCAGAAGCTTTTGTCTTAGCAGAAATGAAATAGTCTCTTCGGAATGCCTTGGGCAGGAGGGAAACAGTGCCAGCTTAAAGGACCTCTGGCCTTATAAAAAGGGAAAGGTACCCCTGCCCGTACAGGCCAGTCTTGACAGACTCTGGGGTTGTGCGCCCATCTCACTCAAGAGGCTGGGGGCCAGTGTTGTCTGGAGACACTTCCAGGTCATGTGGCCAGCATGACAAAGCTGCATCTGGCGAGCCAGCACAGCACACGGAAACACCGTTTACCTTCCCGCCAGTAAGCGGTCTCTATTTATCTACTTGCACCTGGGGGTGCTTTTGAACTGCTAGGTTGGCAGGCGCTGGGACCGAGCAACAGGAGCGCACCCCGCCGCGGGGATTCGAACCACCGACCTTTCGATCGGCAAGCCCTAGGCGCTGAGGCTTTTACCCACAGCGCCACCCGCGTAACCAGGGCTCAAATGAAAAGTTGTTTTGGGTATGCAGTTGGAGTGCAATTATAAGAACATAGAGAGAGTCTTGCTGGATCCAAGTTGGTGGCCTCCTGTGGGAGGGAGTTCCACAGTTTAACTAAGTGCTGCATGAAGGGGAAAAAAATTCTGTTCTGAATCTTCCTACAATCCGTTTCAAAATATATAGAAGAAGCTGGTTTGCCCTGAGTTCACTGTGCTGCAGAATTGAAGCTATCGCTGATTCGAACTGCAAGCATTGCAGAGGAAGTGTATGAGCAGCCCTGCCTACAGCTGGCAGGAAAAGAGAACAAACGGATGACTCCCAGATGGATGTGAAATATTTCAAGAGTTCTGGAGGAATGCTGGGCTGCTCTCTTTCCACAGCCCCAAATAATTCAATGCCCTGTAAAGAGAAGCAATCTGTGTAGTCCTGCCAAATCAATTCAGTGACCTGCTGGATCAGCTTTCACCAACCTGTGCCCTCCAGATGTTTCAGGCTCCAGGTGTCCCATCAGCTCGCACAGCAAGCCTGGGATGTGTAAGATGGCTGCACTTGTAGGCCACAGCCGAGAGTCCCAAGAGCCAGAGTTTCTGGCAGCGGCTGATGGGAGCTGTGTCCAGCAACATCTGGATGGGACCAGGTTAATCATAGACTCACTGTAGAGTTGGAAAGGATCTCCAGGGGTCATCTCCCTGTATGCTCCATGAAGGACCTTAAGGTCCATAAATAGCAACACCCTAGAGATCCCTAAGGAAGTCAGATTAGCCTCAACCAGAGCCAGGGCCTTTTCAACACTGGCCCCGGCCT